TCATTGTGGAGTTATGATGATTTGCGGTGTTTAGACAAACACTTTCCGTGCTTTTCAGGCCAATTTAGGTATAAAGAACCCACAAAGAGGCCCTATCATGCGAAATTATTGTGGAATTTGTGAACAATACGTCAACCAATCCCCCTGCAGAAGTGTTCCAAGCTGAGCTGACTTTGACCAACTAGAGCAATAGACGTGATTCCATGAAAAGGTCTAAAAACCCAAAAGAGTATAATATTCGTAATCAGTATGCTGAAATATCCTCTCGAAGTTTCGACCAATTTAAAGTTTTGGGCCATCTACCATATACTCGTAACCCTAGAAAATCAAGCTACAGTGCACATTCAATAAGATAATGATTAACTTGCCTAATAACCCTCTATACGATGTTTAGACAATACTTTTAATTATTCATTCATTTATTTATTACGCACAGTGCGTGCCATAATTAGGACAAAGTAACGAGAACATATTCAGCAATAGGTATAAAAAACAAAACGGAAAAAAAGTTTCCAGTAAGTTAGCTCAAGTCAGTCACCAAATAGTTTGAAGAACATAGGGAATTAAGCTTTTATAGACTAGGTATGAAATAATCACACAAAATAATGGCGTAATGACTCAAAAAAGTCTGTCCCCTGCCCCTTGCTTGTCCGAAAAGGCGATCTTTACTATTCAGTATGAGCAAATAGGGGAAGCGATGTATATGGAACCGCACAAACAGTTTCTGGGGAGGAGCAGAACCCCGATAGCGGAGAAAAGACTGCATAATGCAAAAAGTTGACTGAGCTTAACAAGGTATTTCTAGGTAAAAACGGAAGGGGGTGCACCGGACTCAACCCAACATGTGGACAAAGTATAAATATGATCATACACCAACATCAGAAGACCTCAGCTGAAGTCAGCTCGAATTCCCTCGTTCTAGGATCAGTACAGCCATAGAAGAAGTAGAAACAAACAAAACCTGCTGTTAGTTGATACGGTATTGTACCTACCGTAACCACACAGGAAGACGTTTTTGCGCGGAGAAGTGTGATATCGTAACCAGCACACCAGATAACCCCTCTGGGCCAATTTTGATCAAAATTCACGCATAAAAGAATCTGAGGCCTGGATAGCCGAGTAGCACCACCGGCGCTATTCCAGTATCCGGGCCCCAAAATTTTTTTGTCGTGGATTTCGCTAAAACTTCACCCGGGGGGGTTATTTGGCCCGCTGATGCCGAATATCACATTGGTTTTGTACGGTAGCGTCATTTTCTGGGGTTAAGGTGGGTGTACGGTAAAGGGTCAAAATCACAGAATTCGCTGAAACTTGGCCTAGGGGGGTTATTCGGCCCGCTGATGCCAAATATCACATTGGTTTTGAACCGTAGCGTCATTTTCTCGGGTTACGGTAGCTACATGGTAACGGGTGTAAAACATAGTTCTGCCTGAAACGGGTGTACGGCGATTCGGACGATCGTGAAGCTTTGCACACACGACCCCGCCACGCGATACACTCTCTGCTGCGGCTTTTGCCTAAGCAAAGCATAGGGGAAAGATACATTTGCCGATTTGCGTTTTCGACCCTTACCATAAACCTACCGCAACCATGCAGGGAAACGTTTTTGTGCGGAGAAAGTGTGACATTTCTGATCAGGATGTCTAATGACCCCTCTGTGCGAAGCTGCAACGGATTTTGAGGTTTTGACCCCCTACCGTTTACCCACCGTAACCCAAGAAAATGACGCTACGGTACAAAACCAATGTGATATTCAGCACCAGCGGGCCGAATAACCCCTCTGGGCCAAGTTTCGGGCAAATCCGTGATTTTGACCCCCTACCGTAATCTTACCGTAACTCCACCGGATGGCGCTATTGCATGAAATAAACATCATATTTGTGTTCAGCATACCAAATAACCTCCCTGGGCGAAGTTTCAGCGAAATCCACGACAAAAAAATTTTGGGGCCCGGATACTGGAATAGCGCCGCACCCCCACTTTTCTTACATGAAGAATTGTAAATCGTTTCTTTCTATAATTTCGTTACAGATCATTTTCAAAGACGGACAGAAGCGACTTATTATCCCTTTTTGTCTGCATAATCACCACGCAAAACATGCAATATTTTTCTTGCGCAGTACAATAAGCTTCTGATAACCGTAGATAATGGTGCGCATTGTGTCATTGCAGATTACTGCATTTTTGTTACGGATAGAAATGCGAGCTAACAGCAGATACGCAGTGCATTGAATTACACTCCAGTGTCTTTATTTTTTGCTCCGGCAACCGTCTACCTGACTCATTATATGCGTCCCGCAATAGGGTGCATTAAAAGCGTCGAAGGGACAGTTAGCATGGTTATCTGCCCCAAAAAGCCTCTAGACCGCGCTGGTTGTCGCTTCTGCATCCGAAGCGCACTGGGTCAGATCACGTCTGCATGAAAATCGAAAACATAAGCGAAACATTCTCCTGGACGCCAAGATCCTACTCAAAACGAAAGTCAAATTGGAAAGAGTACAAAAGGCAAAGGGAGATCGAGTAACCAAAATTTTTTTTCGGGGGCGTGGCTGACGTCATGCCCCCCTTTTTCTAAAATTTTGGGGTGTTGTGGGCCCGCGAAAATTTTGAGAAGCGTACCAAAAATTTTTTCTGGGTGCGTGGCTAACGCCACATACCTTCATTGAAAAAAATTTTTTTGTCGCCCCCCCCCGAGCCGAAATCCCGGGTGCATCACTGCTCCTCCCCTATTTATAGTGCTCGGGTGACCTGACCTCATATCAAAGGCTCTGACGAAGGCGATCCCGCCGAAACGTTGACAGTGAATAAAGTGTGGTTAATATCTTGGTCGATGCTCAGCAAGCTCTAGCATTATCAACTATCGATGCCAAGATCAATAAACAACCGAAGTTGGACAATATTAGAAGTCCTCTCTAACTTCCGCAATTTACGAAGCCTCATTTGAAACCACATCGACTAAAAAACCCAACCTATATTTTCAAACCGCAAAAAACGGTATCCGGCTTGCGTATAAGCCACCTGCCGAGCTCTGCTTCTATGTTGTAGTAAACTATTTTGTTTCAAAACGATGTCTTATAATGATCTCTTTGATTTTGGAGCTATTTAAATGTGCCAAATATTGGAGACTGCTGCGGAACAAGGTTACTTCAATGTATCTTTCGTTTTCAGCTATTCTCCTATGCTGTATAAAAGATGTCGTCACATAACCAAATTTTGTCGATCTATTCTTTGTTTGAGCTTCCCCTACTAGCTGGATAACAGAATGAACATTATTTCGTTGCCCTTCCGTTTTAAGATTGGTATGGTATGTTGATTGAGCGAAATTGTAGGAAAACGAGATTCAATCTACCTTTTGTTAACAAATGTTTGGTGATAATCCGTTCACTTCAGCAAAGTTTGACGGTTAGCTTCGAAACCTAGGATAAATCAACTATACCTTCATAATTATCTCTTTCAACTCGCATAAAGGGAGGATTCAAAGTATAGCGTAACCTCACTTCACGTTGATTTCGAACCAAAGAAAGTACAAGAAAAGCTCATTTTGCTACAACATCGCCCACTACTAACCTCAAAATGAAAGTTGGATCTAGAAAAACATGCTTTTGCTGGATACATTTCAATCCAGCAGGTGAAAGATTTTTGTAACGAAATATTCTAGAAGAATCGTTATATAACGTATTCTTCTATTCGTAGAAGAATGGGTTAAAAAGCTAGGTTTCAAAAAAACCTCGCTTAGCAATGGTTCGTTCAATTTGGCATGGGCGTTTGACGTTTGGCAGTTTCCCAAAATAATCTAACTTCTTCTGGCAATGTATTGATTACTTCAGCAGAGAGGAATAGCAATGAAATACAAGTTAGACCGAACCTCGTCTTGGAACGAAAATGTTTATCACAACATGGAAGAATAGCCTAAACGAATGAGCTGCAGTGAAAAGTGTTGAAAGAAACTATCCTTCATTGCGAAGTTGCTTACGCCCTATGGAATCTCTTCAGTGCGCTTCGGCCGCAAAAACGGCAACCGGCGCGACAGCAACTAGCGGCTGCAGCAGCGACAACCAGCGCGGTCTGGGGGCTCCCTTTAGTGGAGACAAAAGCTCAACATAAAGATATTCCAATAAATATTTTGCCATAAAAAATGTCTGTAATCTGTTTAGTCAAAACATTGAGTTTCTCAAAAAGTTCTGTCGATTAGAGTTTGCCTTTTGTTTTATATGTTAATTTGCGATGAGTAGCTCCACCATTACTGCACTGGCACCAGACTAAAGTTCATATCTACTAGTTTGCTTTCCCGGTCCGCTTGGACCATGTGTCCACGAAGGTCACGTATTAACTAGACCGAAGCGAGTGCAGACTCACTTTACCTTTATCTTCTTTCTTTTTTCTTCACCCCACACTTTTCTTTCTGCTTCTGTTCCGAATCCAGGCAGCAGCACTTCTGTGGTGGACTTGTCCCCTTTCTTAACCCCTCGCTTCTAAACACCTCGTTCTCTTCACCGCAGGATGTAAATGAGATCCATTGCCACTTTTATATGACTATTATAACAACCCAACGATTGATGAGCCTTCATTTTCTTGATGTAAGTAAACAAATCAACAAATCGATAGAAGGACCGAGCAAATCGCCGCAAAAATAGCCTGTCGTGTGCGCTGGGTTTGAATATGTGTGCAAAGTTTGTCGCTTTTTGGTTCACTCGCAAAGATTTCCATTCGACACATACTTCACGCAAACATACAAACTTTGAGTTTTATATATGTATAGATATGCTGTTTTCCCGAAAAGCCACGAAAAGCACTGATTTTTTCTTCTTTAAAGCTCTATTTTCAGCCTCAAGCAAATTTTTCGGCTCGCGTATAAATAGCTGGTACATAGCGCACAAAGTACACATCTTATATCAACATAACTCATTCGCATTCATAAAGGATTTTATATGGTATTGTCAAGAATTTTTCAAAAACCCTACATACTACTGTACTTGTCTTTGTGATCTTAGCCATTTCAGTGCCAATAAAACTTGCCGAAGCGAGACCGATCATTAGTGGTGCGTTCTCTATTGCCTGGTCAGGCAATGAGTTGATACCTCCAGTTGCTCCTTTTATCAATATATACCACAGATGCCTATTCGAAGATCAGGTCAGCGTCACAACTGGCTTTCGCACCGAGCATTAACTCTATTTTAGCCTCTCAAAGTATGCTCCAGAGTGCTTGGCATCGAAATCCCAAGAAACTATGTCATAAGCAATAGCAGTCGTGTGAATGCGACGTATGATATTGGCATAATGAACCTCAATCTCAAGTTCACGCATGAGATCATTGACTGCTTTTTTGGAACATATTCCTGATTGTTTTTTACAAAATAAATTCATATGAACCTACAGATATTTTAATGTTTACTAATTCATTAGCTGTGGTTACTTACAATGTTCATGGCTTCAATTATGTAGATTGAACTCACCGACGTGGATCCATTCTTTGTGCCAGTTTGTTGTTTGTATGTGACGCGCCGATGCTTCACAAAGTTCCGCCCCGGAGTCTTCCTCCTGTCTTTGGCTGATGGTGTAGGTAGAGCTAGGAGCTAGCCCAGTGTTTGCGGAGAAAGTGAGGAGAGAAGTAATAATGCTGAGACAATATGTTCCACAAAGTTTATAACCACTATCAACGCTTGCAACCTTTTCTGGGTAATCTTGTTTAGAGCGCATTATATTTCCTTCCCTCAACGGCGTTATAGTTTGTTTATTTAAGGATGGACTGGCAAATAGATCCCCTAATATCATGAGAATCTGAAATTTTCCACCTGTAGTTTTCTTCTTAGGACAGAAGATTCTTAACATGCGCATTTATGAGTGTAAATCCTGTACTTTTTTACGTTTTTGACAGATAGAACACTACTCGAACAAAACCTTCCAACAAGGGAACGATCCCAACTTAAGGTGGCAAATTGGAATAAACCGCATATTATTAGATGCCTTCCATATCTGCGATGCCGTTGTCTGCAAAAAGTTATGAACGGTTGAAAATGTAAAGTCATTGGGGTTTCAATGCATAATATGCTTCAAAATACAACTTGGGAGTGCATGACTAGCATGATGTTGTGGTACTGATTTTAAGGAAATGCTTACATCAAGGGAAACACAAATAAGTGTTTTTATCAACTAAAAACAACTAAAGTTCTTTGGTAAAAGCTATGAGCAATCAAAAGTCCAACTTTGGCAAATATACAGCGCCATACCTCGAGAATTAGTTCATCAAAAACACTTCTTTGTGTTTCCCTTGAATGTGAACATTCCTTGAAATCAGTACACTCAATATCATGCCGTTCATGCACTCCCAAGTTGGATTTAAAAGCACATTATGCATTGAAACCCCAATGAATTCACATTTTCAACCGCTCATAACTTTTTCCAGAGAACGGCATCGTAGATATAGATGATAGGTTTGGAATCACTCGTCAAGACGCATCTAATGATATGCGGCTCATTCCAGTTTGCCACCTTAAGTTGGGATCGTTTTTTGTAAGAGAATCGTTTGAAATTATGCTTTTACTTCAAAAGCGAAAATACTTTTACTCAGCAACAGATAGTTGTAAGGACCGCCGTTTCGTAGAGCTATCAGAGCCTAGCATTAATCTAAACGAGGAGTTAGGTGTAATTAGATAGGATGCTCTGCCAAAGAAAAACCATTTCGTGTTCTCACGAGCTCTCGTCTCCTTTGTTACGAGGGAAACAAATTGTCGTTCTCAAAGCACTTCTGCACAATGTTTGTTTATCTTCTTTATGAGGTAAATCTAGCGGACTAAATGAAGCCTTCATAGTAGCTACAAAAGGAATGGTGACTTTGTCAATATGCGATTTCAGCAGAGAAGCCATGAGAATGGAGAGAAAAACATGAAAGATACAGGAAGAAATCTAAATTCGAGACAAAACAATATAACGCACTGAACATACAAAAGTCAGAGCTTATGTATGAGCTTCCAAGGTGCACTCAACCAGCTCATTATTACCCTAATTTCACGAGCACCAGACGCACCCTTTTCATTTTTTTCAAGCAAGCAGGTCGGCCGCACCTTTATACATCGCGAAATCTCCCACACAATTCTTTTGGGTAAGGAGCAGCAAGAGGTTTCTGTTATATTTAGGCTGGTCGAGTCTAAAAAACCTGGTGCGTCTTGCACTCGTGAACTTGTGGTACCTCGCATTGATTGGTGCTGGCAAAGGAATGGTCAAAATTCGAAGTGGCCAATCCCAACAAGTATATATTTTTGAATACTCCATGGAGGGCTGGGTATGTTTTCGCCTTTATTATCTGCTTCTCGGTCTCCTACGAGGTTATGGCCCTCGATTCCGCCGTGGGACCGCCACGCATCGTAAGTACACGTCGCCCAGCTAACAAGGAGGGTGGACCTGTAGTGTAGTGGTAAGTGTGCAGACATCACAGGATGAGCGTCCCTTTATTTGCAAGTTCGATTCCTTTTGCTTGCAGCTCTTTTGCAACCCATTCCCAATATCTATATAGCGCGAAGTCCCTAACAGGTCATTTATTGTTTTGGCAATTTGTTCATTTCCGTTTCTGTTTATTCATGCGGTTAAAAAGGTAGTTCAGCAACTAAAGACTTCGAAATCTTTATTTTTTTTTTGTAATTTGAGAGTGCGAAATCAGGATAAATTTCATTGTGAGCATTTACCGTAAGGCAAAAACAAAATGCTGTAAGCATAGGAGGGGTTGCAGTACGCACAAGTATAAAATATTAGGTTGTTGCAAAAATAATGTCCGTTTTTTTAGACCTATAATCCAAACAACTTTTTTCCCATCAGACTTTCCTTTTCGATAAGGCATCTGCATATCATTGGAAAGCTCTCTTCATGTGCTTTCTAATAGTTGTGAAATTAAGCTGTTATCCTCATCTATGAGAATTTCACAAGCATTTTTCACATCCGCACTCAAAATCAGAATCTCATAGCTTCCACTTTCTTGACCACAATTCAGGAGCAAATCAACGAATTCTTCTGAAAGCATAGCAAGTGTATTGAATGAAGATTGTTTACCTATTGCATGCTTATGTAGATTTTTGGAGAAATGTGGACTGAGAAATTGACGCGTCAAAGTAGACACTCGCTGCTGGCATTCTATGGGTCAGAAATTTCTCATAATTAAGGCAATCACCAAAGCTTCGCCCATTTCTGTAAGCTTGAAATTAGCACACCTTAACTACATTTTTTGAAGAGAAACTTAGCTATTCAGTGCGCGAAGAATTCCAAATTTTCATAGTTAGGCGCTTACAAGCCTACAACAAATAGGCTCAAAAGAGTGAACATTTTTGAAATTTTATCTTTTCTTTTCGCAGAACTCCCTAGTTGGAGTTTTTTTTATACTCACCTATACTATTGGCCTGCGGCTACAAAATAAGCTGATTAGCAGACATAGGGACAAAGCTTGAAGGGAGTTGTAAGCTCTTGAAGACGAGGTTTTCAAGAGAAAAACTTTCAGTTTTCTGACTCATGGTTTTCTTCCCGTTCGGCGATATCAGTATGGGCAGGAGCGCGCTAAGTTAAGAAATGTTTAATGTTTCTGATGGTCTTGACTGCATATAAAAATATGGAGACTGAACGAAGTTATAGCCTTCCAAAGTGAAAATTTGCAAAACGGACATTATTTTTGCAACAACCTAATAATTAGGTTAGGTACTAATTAGGCTTCTGTTTATCAGTTTCAGCTCCACCTTTCTTGCTGCTTGCTTCTGTTCGTTCTTGCATTCCTATTCATCAGCATTTTATTCTTGCTTTCACCAGATCATCCTCAATTCTCAAGAGAATTTGTGCGATAAAAAAATATGAGTTTATGAATGTTGATGTTGTTTAGATATTGAATTACCTTTTTAATCGCGTCCAGGGCCCGGCAAGAGGTGGCATTTTGAAAATTTGAAAACGATATCCCCTTTGACAACAAAAAATTTTTTACGACTTCCCTTATGACACCTAGTGTTCATTCAAGCGGAAATAATGACGACCAAAAAAGGTGTTACTTGGACATCAAGCGATACTGAGATGGTAAGGGAATATTTAAGATTTCAACATGAAAAACCCCCTAGCGCCACAAAAATGCGTGACCCTCTATCCACCTTAATTCTTTCTGCATTAAACTGGTCTATTATCACACGGTTAGCTTTCGGGATTGAAACGCAATGGCATTTAGTAAAGCCGCCTCATTCGAGCGCAAATTGAAAAGATTTCACGATAAATCAGCTCAATCTCTTGTCAGTCAAACAAGTGATTGAGAAGTTGTCCAGTCATTTGTGTAGTCTCGAAAAAGCTACGTATAAAGTAGAAGTCTTGAGAGGAAGATATGCGAGACCTTATTATAGAGGAAGCGCATAGACTATCGCGTTTAAGTTTCATACTGCTTCTTCAACGCACGCGCTACTAACATAAGCGAGCTGAAAAGCTAAAATCCAATTCAGAGATAAACACTTAAATAACCCAATTTATAGTTGATCACTTTCAACGCACTGAAGCTATACGACGCGCCAACTATTACTACTGTCTCACTAGTCTTCTTATGCAGCTTCCCTGCAAAGTTCCTCAGATAATTAAATCCGTAACGGAAATCCGTCATTTGACATTGATAGCCATTGCAGAACTTCAACAAAAGTGGCTACAGCAAAACATGTGACATGTCCGCGTGTATGCAAAGAGCAGCTATTTATTCGATACAGATACATGAAAGGTTGAATTACATGCTAAGAGCGAAAAGTGAGGCGCGAAATAAGACAATTCTCTCTAAGAACATAGATCAAAAAGAATGGACGAAGGACTGACGGTGGATGAGTACTAATTCGCAAGTGTCGGCACGTCTCGAGAAGCACTGGAACAACCAGAGCTGTGCCGTACGCATAGCCGCAAACAACGGCTTTGACCGGCAGAAAATGGGGAACTCCAACCAATTTTCTCATTTGACACCACTCTCCCTCTATGACAAAAAGATCTTAAACTGAAGTGGGAATAAGAAAGGGACAGATAATGAAACTTAGAAGAAAAATGGCACCCTAAAAACCGATGAACTAGCAAAATGGCAAAAAAGAACAAGAACAGCCTTGTCTACAGGTTGTCGTGCGAAACGCAGAGTTTATTTCCAATTCCGACTCTGACGGGTGTACTAAAGGAGGTAGGGTCTAGGACTTAGGAACTATCCAGATGAAAGTAAGTTGTTCTAACCGGGAACTATCGGTGCTCACTTCTTCGTGTAAGGGATTCTAAAGTTCGAATAGCCGAATAGCGCCAACAGATGGGGTATTAAAATAAAAAAGGAAAAAATGCGATTCACAGAAGAAGGAAATTGAATAAACTTT